CTTCCATTCTGTATCTCTTTCTTTGCTTCCCGGCACAAGTCACGCAAAGCTTTTTCCACCATAAAACTCCTATTTTTCTTGGCTAACTGGAAACCACTGCCACAACTGAAACTGTGATCCAGTAGCAGCAGGCAAACTGGCTTAAACAAACTACCATTTTTCTAACTTCTTACTAACAATAATTAACAAATTTTGATTTGTTAGCAATTTAAAGCACACACGTGTTTAAGCAAAACAGATAAACTTAGGTTAGAAAACACAAATAATACAAGAAAACTGTATGATGATAAAGAAAGGGTGACACTGTTTTGTCACAATTTTTTAAAAAGCTGGTAGCGTGAGAAACCAAAACGATATATTTACCCAATTTTGTAGATTGCCTACTTTTTGTTTATGACTGATTGAACGATAATTAGAAAATTTTTTATTTAAATGCTTACGGAAAACACGGGTTGTCAGGGATCAAACGATAGATAATCTAAACACATAAATTTTACCAAGAATTAAGTATGCAAAAATAAATAAACAGTCGGATAAGACACGCTGTGAAATTGTTAAACAGGTGCAACAAGGAGTAAGTGAATGATGTGAGGGAAAAATCAAACTGCACACTGCACGATTCTTATGCGTTTTTCAGTATGCGTGTATAGATGCTCTTTATAATTAATATCTTAACTCACATGAGACTGCAAAAGAAAGGCTCTAAGTAACCTAAACTTTCACCGGTTTTCACCAGTATCTTCCTTCCAACTCAATGAGCAATTAATCCTCTGGCAAACTAATTTATAGTGTACGACTAACACTACTTTGTGCAGGTGTCTTCTGCCTGCTTTGGTTTACATGCTTAGACTTTTCGTACGTTCCTTTAGCTGCTCCGACTTGCTTTCACCAACACTGCCTCAAAAAACCGCCATTTTTATGACTTTTATTTACAAAACTGTCAATAATAAATTGTTCGCGTGCAGAAAAAACAATTTACAAAAAGTTTAAGTTTAAGCCATTTTAATGGCGCCAATCACAACTCAAAACGGAGTTTCTAGTTCATACTGGTCACATAATCCCTACAAGCACTAGTTTATTTTAAAATTTACTTATTAATTATACATCAATAATTAGCAATAACAGTGTGCATAAACATAACAGTAACAATTCGTTTTGTAACCGCTGATCATCTACAAACGCTCATCTAGAAAAACAAAAGGTGAACCAAAAATAGCAAAACATCTGCAGGAAAAGCTTCTTTCGTTGATCACGCACATTGTAAAAAACAATGTTGGCCACTGACCACTGATGACCGCCAGCTGTGTTTGAAACACAAAGTAGAAACACGCTTAAACGGTCATTGGTCATTTGCCTGACCGAAAAGAACAAACAATGGTAATCTTTGCTAATATTATTGTGGCCCTAATGAGTTACTGGAAAACCCTAGACATACAACAGCAGTTTGAGGTATTGCACTTGTCAGAAAAATAAAAACAATTATCTTAATTTTTAAAAATATAATCAAAAGTTATGAGTCATGCTTTACTGATAACAATTTTTTCCAGGTTTCTAGGTTTCTAAGTGCTTTTGGGAAAATAATACAAATAAAAGACACTGCAATATATTTGTGTATATCTTTGGCAATTAAAGCATTTTGGTTGGCCTTCTCTACTTCGCATCAATTGCGTCGCTGGTGACGCTGTCAATTGCCAGCTACCTGTTGAGCCTCATGGCAGAATCAGTGCAAAATTGAGCAGAGTGAGCCGAAGAGATTATTTGACGAGATGACGACTGACTACTGGCGACTACTGGTGATGTCGGTGCTGCTGGTTTCAGGAGTGTTCTGGAGAGATGCCCAGGCCGTTCTCAGCCGGGCAGGTGACTATCACACAGTGCCAGTATGAACAACGACGACTACGACTACTACTACTACAACTTTAGTTGCTGACCTTAACATTGATGCCATTAGACCAAGACCTTGACATTAAAATTTATTACTCATAGAGCTTGTGGCTGCTGTGGTGGTAGTGGTACACCAAAACTGATAGTAGGTGATGATACCAAAGCACGAATTGCTGACACAGGTAGCGCCTTCTTCGTCTTCGATGACTAGTTTGAGATGCCTCTTGTCTTCTTCTTAGTTGTCTCCTTCTTCTTTTTTTTTCTACGTTTTTTTTGCCATCATCGTCATTTTTGCATGGCCAAACAAGATTGGCAACTGATGAGGGAAAATTTGGCCACATGGCAACAGCAAAAAACACAACAAAACATTGAGACAATAATAAAAGTACAAATATTTATCACTCTTCACACTGTGTCTTGATATTACATAACAGGTAATTATTCTGTTTGGAGAGTACAAAAAAAGTTTATTTTTGCCAAAAAGCCACTGCAATTGCAAAAACTTGTGCAACGTTTTAAACAATGGCTAAAAATGAACGAATGTTGTAGTAGAAGGGCATATGAATCATAACCAAAACATGACAAGGGCACCTGAACTGGTGTGGCCAAGCTGATGACACATACGCACACTGACTTGGTCAATATTCTCACAAAAAGAATAGAGAATTGCCAAATTTTAATGAAAACAATTAGAAGAATTTTTAATGTACGAGTTTTGTACTTGATATTTTTCAAGTACATCTCAAACTAGACACAACAGCCGTATTTCCCAACAGTTATAAATAAAACAAGAACCAGACAAACTTCAACTGACAGTGTCTGTGCGAGGGCAGACAAATGAATGCAGCCATTCAGCAGTAAATTAACGGTCTGAATGAAAATTAAGTATCTATAGCTGATAGTGATCAAGTCAGAACAGCGGCGCATTGACAACAGTAGAGATGTAATGCTTTCAGCGACAACTCACACTCTCTCAGAATCTACCTTGTGCATTGCTTCAGAATGAAAAGCACAGACAAAAGAAAGCTGTCACTGGGGCGCCTCTCTTCCTTCCAGACAGTGGCAATTCAAGACCAAGGTTAAATGTCTCGAACGCTATGACTATGTCTTCCCATTAGCTAGTAACTGTTATGTGCTGCTTAGGCAAGTAAGCTACACTTGTGTGCAATCGAACACCAGCCAACAAGGTACTTTCTTATCGTCTAGCAAAGACATTCGCCGTCGCTCGAGCAGCAACAGCAGCAGCATCAGCAGCAAACCCTTGTTGCTTACTTGATTTTCTATCTAATAAATGAATGCGTGTCTTTCGTCATGTAGACCACAGATGTGGTTTTGTCTCAGTCTGCACTACACACCTCTATCCAGTTGGCTAACTGCTGCAGTGCAAGCTTCAGTTTACTAGCACAGCACTGATGCACTGGAAGTGGGCAGTACTACTCTAACTGTACTCTCAGAAAAACAGTAAATTCCTTAATTTTCTGCATTTGAGGCAATTTAGTGCTTTAGAGACTTACAATTCGCAAACATGTTTTTCCACAAAACTATAAATTATCTCACAAAAAATCAATCACATGCACACTTGTCCGTTTGTTTTTCTGTTGTGCAAGCAGACATACTATTTTAGTAACGGAAATGTTACAGAAAAATTCCATTTTTTACTTTTTCATTCTGTGAGAACCAATCAAGCAACTGTTTTTAATATTGTTGTTTCAATGTCTAGATAAAAATTGTTTTGTGTTTGGCAAATAGTGACACATTGATAGTCTTGTGTTATTTAGTTTTTTTAAATTGTCTTAATTACTAATTTTTTTATAACTCTCAATAACTGATAATATTACATTTTTGCTCTTAACCAGTTGCGTTCTAAAAATATTATCAAAAGATTTGATTTTAAAACTTCTTATTACTCAAAGGACAAATGAAAATAATTTCAAGCAATTTAAAAAAAAGAGAAAAGCATAAAAACTTCATTTTGTTTTTAGTTGAGTGTTACAAATCTTCCATCTGTTGGTTGCTGCCCAAGTTTTTCTAAGTAATCTTACACAATTAGAGTTGACAAAAAATCAGATAAGATCAATTTACAAAAAGTATGCTGACACAAAATAAATCTTAATTTTTTTAAAATTTTATTTAAAATGAGTGCATAAGGAGGAAGATTAATTTTTTCAATGGTGCCTTCCAGCCACTGACTGGTGATCAGTGGCACAAATCGGCACTTTCTGAAGCGTGAAGTTGCCATTTTATTTATGATAAAGAAAAAACAACAACAGAGTTTAAATGAAATGCAAATTAAATTCATGCAAAGTCAGTCATTAGGCTGAATTAGCTGTTGATTATGCGACAGTGCAGACAGGGGAAAGATAAGACAGAGGTTATATAACACAAAAACAAAACTCTCCTAATGATATTTCAATGCAAATGTATCTCCTGAAGATGATTAAGAGTAGCGTCTGAAAACGAAAGCAGCCGTGACGACACAGAGAAGTCCGGAGAGGACATTCAACAGTAGACCATTGTACACGTAGGGATGAGTTAGATCCCAGGCACGAAGCATTGCATTGCGCAGCGACTCGGAGGGTAGTGCAATCGGACAAAAGTAGAGGTACTTCCGCAGAGACGGGCGAACAAACTCCATGGGAAAGATTGAACCACTCGAGAAAAGCTGTGAAAATGTTACAAAGATTGACGCCAGAACGGCCACAAATCCTTCGTCAAAGAGACTGGAGATGAGAAGTCCTAAAAACAAAACAAAATAATTTTTCGGTAAAATGTCAGCCCATTGTCCACATACCGACGGCGACTGCATTAGCTGCCTGTGCAAAAACCAGTCCAAAGATGAGCTGATAAGAGCCAAAGTTGGTCACCTGAAAGATGACCAGAGAGACGAGTAGCATGAGACCAATTTGAATGATCGAGAGAATGCAACTGGAAAAAAAGTGCGAAAAGAAGACGAGATTATGGCCAACGCCGGCAACTAGAGAGCGCTCAAAGAGGCCATCCTTCTTCTCCTGAATGAGCAGCTGCGAGGAGAGTGACACTTGCGAGAGGTAGATGAAGGATATCAGATAGCCGGGAAGGAGAAAGTCAGAGATCTTGGAGTCCTCTGCGTAAATCACCTCGCGCACATCAATGGGCGCGTCAAACATGGGCAGGTTCTGACTGAGTGAAAATTTCTTCATGTACCCGTACATCGTCTGACGCATCGAGTCGACAAAACCATTGGCAAAGAGGTAGTTGCCCGTGTCGATGAACATCTTTACCGTACTCTCCACCAGCGTCTCATTGTCTATACTCTCTGGCTCAGAGAGGCGAGACTCAAAAGCGTCGGAGAAGTTGCGTCCAAACCAGACGGCACCAATGGCCTTTCCATCGGTGATTGCGCCAATGGCTGCCTCCAGAGAGTCGTAGTAGATTGGATTCAGGTAGTAGACGTCCACCTTTTCAATTGCGCTGAGCACTCCCTTGCTGTGCAGGGGCTCGGCTTCTTCGTTAAAAACAGCCGTGTTAACCTACACAAAAAGTCAACCAGATTAAATGAATTGTACTAAAATGAATCTTGATAAACTTACCGGAACTGCGTCACGATTGTAGAGTGTACATAAAATTAGTGCTTGAAATGCAGGAATCAAAAAGATGAGGAATGATATGTTAAATTGAAAAAATCGAGTAAGGTTTTTGCGAATTAAAACGCTGAGAATCCAGATGTTGAGAAAAATGTCACGGGTAAAGCTGCCTGATGATGCACTGTTTTTAGTGACGGTAGGTGAAGTTACCGGAGCTGCTTCTCTGTTGGTATTCTCAACTGCAGACACTTCATCTGAAGACTGGACGACCGGGACGTCGCCCACCTTGCAGAGGTGCAGAAAGACGTCTTCCAGTGTTTGCTGACCATACTTTGCTGTCAGCTGATTGGGAGAGCCTTCGGTGAGGATGGTGCCGTTGCGCATAATGCCAACAACGTGGCCGAACGTTGCCTCCTCAATGTAATGGGTCACAATAATGATGCTAATGTTCTCCAGACAGCACTGGTGCAGGTAGTTCCAGATGCAGTTCCCCAGAACTGGATCGCTCCCAACGGTAGGCTAGTGATTAAGGGTTGTTTTGGATAAACCAAAGAATTATAACTGTAAAATCAAGCCTTACCTCGTCTAGAATCAACAACCTCGGGCTGTGCAGAAAAGTTAGAGATAGTGAAACCATTTTTTGCTGTCCACCAGAGAGCTCCCAAATCTCACTTTTGTCATCGGGAAGCCCGAGAACTTCTTTGAGCATTTTCTTTCTGAAAAAGAGCCGTAAAGATGAGCAATACAAAGTTTAATTTAACTAAATCAACAAAATACTTTTCTTTAAACGTTGTGGCCGACAATCTGTAGATGTTTGCAAAATACTGCAAAGTTTGGCCAACTGTGAAGGTCATGCATAGTGCCTGAAAATGGTTTGAATAGTATTTGAGTGTTATCCAGCAAAATAGCGGTTTTTACGGTTACTGACAGTGTCCTGGGGCATGTACCCGATGATTCGGTTGTTCTTTCCCGGTTCATCACCTAGCACAGTTATTCGGCCAGCAGTGGGTCTGATTCGTCCTAGGACCAGACGCAGCAGGGTGGTTTTGCCAGCACCACTCGGCCCCAAAAGACTGTAGATTCGTCCATAGGGAATGACGGCGTTGATGTTGTTGAGAACCGGTGTGCCCGAATAGCTGAACGCCACATTGCTCAGCGAAATGGCACTCATTGTGGCTGACGGTGAACGTGACGATGTGAATCAAGCAATGTCTGACTAGGACAGAGATCAAACAAAAGTGTCCCATCAAGGAAGCCTCGAATGCGGTGAGCTTTCATTTCTACTGTCTTTACTTTGTTTTCATCAGATAAATGGACTTTTGTGGTTAATTTTAGACTTACTTGTTACATTGAAAGCTAAATATTGAATTTCAGTAAATTGTTTCCCTAATGCTGTAGTTGTAAAGAAAGAAATATAAAGTTCCGAGTTAGTCTATTTATCAATTAAAAAATCACTTGATTGATAGCCAAAAGATTACTACTCTAAATCTAAACATCATCAAAAGCTGCCAGCAGCCTTTGATTGTACTACTTGACAGGATGATAGAGTATTAGAGTAGGATTAAGATTAGTATAATGGAGTGTCTATAAAAGCAGCCAAATATGACCGACATTGCTGCCATTGAATCCCAAATATAGTAGGTCACACTGAACTTTACCTACCTATCGATTCTCCTGTTGTGCAGCTTCCCACTGAAAGCACGAAGTGAGAAGATACAGAGTGCTGAACAGATTGAGCTTACTCTTCTCTCCATCACTTCTTTTACCTTTCAGGTAGTGCCTGTGGCTCAATTGACTTTGTAAGTCGCCCTGAATGGAATGCAAAGCCATCAAATCTGACTGACATGCATCTGCCAGTGGATCATGTTTTCATCCATCACACCGCCGAAGAGGAGTGCTCAACGAAAGAAGAATGCACTAGAGTTTTCAGGTAGGCGAAGATATATGGCACTGTTTAGTTTTGATAGCAAAAATAATGATGGTTTTTGCAAAAAAAATGCAAGATTTTCACAACGTTACGCTAAAGTTTGGTGATATCGGATACAACTTTATCATCGACAAGGGAATTCACAGCTGGCCTCACTTTGACAAAAAGCTATTAAAAACTTACATTTGTTCGAGCACTCAGTAAGTATTCACGGGCAATTTTCGCTTGAACTTTCTAATCATTTACATATTAACAGAAAAACTAAGCATCAGCACCTAAGTTTATAAAAAATCAAAATTGTGTTTGATAAGCTCCGCCCTACAAGTATTTTGTAGAAATGTCCTTTTGTGTAAATGTGTCATAGTATCAAAACAAATGTGAAAACCTCACAAATTCTTTGTTGTCCACTTACAGTCATTTACATTCAAGAATTGTAAATGAATATTCTCATTGAGCCTAGAAACGCTTTCTTGCAAAGGCGACGTAACGTATTGCAGGTTTCAAGCGACACTGTAAATGTCTTTCACTACTAAGTAACATTACTATTCAACTGATATTTGAAATGTCGGTTCCGAATCGAGATTACACGATGTCTGCGATTTCTTGGCGACAGCTTCACCTGTCTCGTGCCAAGTTAAAGGCGAGCTCTCGGACCTCTGCTTTACTATCAGGATTCGCAATGGTAAGTCGACTCTTTTTGCCCTTGTAACTGTCTTGTCGAGTGCTGTTCTTGATGTAGATGTCATCAAGTTTGAATTGCTTATAGATTGCCATGGTTGAGCTTCAGGTGAACACCAGTGGAGAGGATTCTAGTCAAGTGCCAACCTCTCTTTTGATCACCTTTACGGCTTGTACCACTCTTCTGGTATCTGTGCATATGCTGGCCTTGATGATTTCTACATGCATTCTTCCGAATGTGGAGGCCGTTGCTTCCGTCAATGGCCTAGTAGCGGTTCGTATGCTTTCTTTGTTGCTAATTGTTATGTTTTGCTAATTACTTTTACTTTTTACAGGTACACGAGTCACCGCACAAGAAAATGCGAATATACATTGAGATTGCATGGGCTTTCAGTACAGTTTTCGGTATATTTCTTTTCCTCATTGAACTGGCAATTTTGTGCTGGGTCAAGTTCTGGACTGTTAAGTACAATAATTATAAAAGTGGACAACTAGCTGCGCTAGTAGCTACACTGATTCTTATTCCCATTGGTATTATTTTTATAAGTTTTGCCATACATTTCTACCGAACGCTTATAACGCATCAGTTTGAGCGGTCAGAAAAGCATCTCCAGGAGCTAGAAGTCATGGTCTCGCAGCTAGGTCATGACCATCCATTGGCCATGCAAACACAGCCCTTTCTCAGTAATCACCGCTCTCCTGTAGTCGAGACGGTCTAAACGCCCAGTGATCCAGACTGATTTTACTTAATATGATTGTGTGACTTACATTGTTATTAGTAATTTATTATTTAAACTGCATCATTTGAAGTTCATTTACACTCTTCAAATATATTTTGTGAACCCACCTTTTACTTTACTCAAAAATACTGACATTAAAAGTGGTAAAACACTTTCTTTTACAAGGACTCAAATATTGAAATGACAATTGGAAAGGGAGTTTTATGACTAACTTTTCCAAGTTTTCTTTTGGGTAGTTTGAGTATTTTGGTGCATCGATCAGAGTTTTCTTCATTTCCATCGCAAACAGAGTTCATGATATTACTTGAAATTGAGTTGAAAAAGTCGCCGTAGCTCTGCACCACGTCGGCAGTGCACTCTCTGTGGTTTGCTTTGTTCAGATCATCCACTATGCAGCGACTGAGCTGTGCACTGAGACAGCACATGAACGGGATGCGGCTTTTTGTATCCTCAATCGATAGTGTCAAATTTAGTTTGTTTATGAAGTTACGGTAGCACGTTTTGACCAACTTCTTGTTTGATGGTGGATTGACGCAGTTTGCATAGGAAATCATCTCATTGCGTGCTTTCAAATTGACCTTTGTGCTGCAGTATCGCCGCGTAGTGCGGGAGTTGCTGTACGAGAAAACGGAAATAATTGTTCTTGAAACGCCACTCAGACAACGTCCGGAATAATCTTTGAGGAACTTTCCGCCTTCCTTGTTGCCCCTAGAATAGGAAAAAGTTATAAACTCAGTATCGTAATGTTTTCAAGTGCTAAATAATTCAAAGGCAACTTACGTGCAGAATTTACTAAACTCTTTTTCAGTTTTAGGGTATTGGTAGCGATTGTCGGAGACGTAGCCGACAATCTTCAGAATGGCTTCTTCCATGTCCGATTCCGTGCATTTTTCACAGGTGCCGTTTTGCACAAGTAAACAAAGGAACACCAGTGCAGAGAAAGCGGAGGTAAGGGACGTGATGGGACGCATCATCTGTGACATTTGGCACGGGCGATTCAATTGGCACTGATTGCTGTTCTACGAACAGTGTGTTTGTGTGATTGGTTACACTCAGACTCGACTGAAACAATCACAGCACGCGCAATTACGCCACTTGAGATGCGAATGGCACGACGATGCGATGCCTGCTCAGTTCAATTCACCATTGACCATCGACAGATGCGCTCAGCTGCACTGACAGCGACACTAAACTCGTCTGATATTTCCTACCTTCTAGGCATTTACCATCACCACCACTATCATCATCGTCGTCATCATCATCAAGCATGTTGGCGCTGAAAGTGATGCCGCCATTTTCAAGGTTTTTACCGACCAATCTTTCTCAATAAAATTCAAAGAGGCTCCTGCTCTGCTCTGATATCAAACTCATACGTCATCAGGCACTCTGTTCAATGACATTTTGGTTCATTCTTTTATTGTAAAGAAGTTGATTATGCAGAATTTCAAAAAGTTCAAAAAATTTCCTGTACTCATTATCATTTTGACACTACCAGGAAAAGCTCTGTCGTCAGTGTCACCTTCCTGGTCAACTCTATTAGACGCTAATTGTCCGAACAAGCAAACAAACAAATAGGAGGAAAGTCGATCAGTGAGAATACTGCTGCGATTACTTAGCGGTGTGACATTAGCATTGGCATTTGTGTTGCGGGTGGGCAGTAGAGGGAGATCAGTGAGAAGCAGAGAGACTAAAGTGCCCGGTGCAGCAGCAGCAGCAGCGCGCTTGGCGCGACCAGCAAATGGGCATAACTTGCCTTGCAAGTCTCACTTGTTGAATTCATAACGAAAGGATACACAGACAACACACACACACACATAAGTACATACTTGAGGTAGGAGAAGGAGAGAAAATAAGAAAGAGAAAGAGAAGCAAAGTGAAGGGGAAGGAGAAGGCGCAATGAAGGCGCGCAGAGTCTTAGGAAAGCAAACGACGGCGAGTGTCTGGACGCGCACAAGTGTCAGCAGCGGCAGTTCGGCGAAATAATTCGACGAGGCGCCAGCGTCTAACTGTCTGCGTTGCGCGCTCCAGTGTTCGTTTGTTCGTTTGTTCGTGCTAGAGCCAGCGCTGGTGAAGGAGCACACCGACGGCGGTGGCCGCATCGATTGCCCAGTGTGTGTTTACATGTGCTTCCTTCCCTAATTCTCCTCGGTGCTGTTCCCCCTCTTCCCCAGCCACTGTTCTCCAGCAGCCATTTGCTGCTTCATCGCTGCTTGATTCATTCAGTCACTGTCATTCTCTTCCTACTCCATCGCCGACTGTGCTGCATGTGCTCATCTGCCTCCCAACAGGTGTCTGTGTGCAGTGCTGTGCTGTGCTTTCTTTGCTGTTTTCTTCTGTCTCCTTTGTTCCAAGCAAGTCGCCAACTCTCCAGTGAATGTGCACTAGTGCCCAGCTAGTGCCTTCGTGTTTGTGCCACTGACAAACTTTGACTTTCTACTTAGAACTCCGCAGGTATGTTTGTGTGCGCTTGTTTGTCAGCCCTTTCCCGAGCTGTTTGCGCTGTTTCGTTTTCTCCAATCACCACCGAGCAATCATTGTTCTCATTGGCGTCGCACCAAGCTGCTCACCGAGTGTCATTCCTCTGACTAGAGCCAGTCTGACACTTATTTCCGTCTCATGCCCGAATGTCCACTACAACAACCACTACTGCTACTAGGAACTGAATAGAACAGTTTGGAAGCGGTCGCCTATTTAGTGAGTCGGACTGACTGAGTGAGTGACTGAGTGAAACGAAGCCTGTCGCGATTATGATTACATTAGAAGGAAGCGACTCTCTTCAGAATTGCTCTTTATTAGGCAACAAAGTGGTTTATATATGCGCTCGGTGCACTTCACTGCGCCTTTGCCTGCCTAATTGTAAAATCTCCACCGTCAACAGTGACTGGCTCGCCGCGGCAGCTAGGAAGAACAGAAATGCATGAACGCAGGTCTGGCCACTGGTGAAATGATACTGGCAATAAAGTTACATTGGCAATTGTTGCTGTGTGCTGTTGTCCGCTGGGTGTCCGACTCGTGACCAGGCGTAGAAGACAAAACGCGCTTTGTTGAGTGGCGTGTGAAAAGGGACAGCACCGCTGCTGCTACTGCTGGTCATTTGTCGCCTTTCATTTGTCTCCAGCACCTTGGTCCGCTATCTACTATCTACTATCATCTCGCTGATCATTTGTTCGGCTCACTTGGTAAGTCACCACTTTGTCACCTGTTCTACCCGGTCGCTGCATTTTTTGTTGCATTGCTAAACAGCCAAACAGTTTCTGTTGACCGATTTGTGGCGGCAAAGTGTTGACTACCAGCCGTGTGTTGATTACAAGCTATATTTACTGTTCGGCCGGCTATTATTAAAGTCGGCAAATGCAAGTTGCACTGCAGTTGGCCACTGAGCCAGTGATCAGTGCGTAGGACTCCTGCTGGATAAGAGAAGAGTATCGCACCGAGCAGAGCAGTACCGCTTCTGGCTGGTGTCAGTCTCTGTAAATGTGTGTGTGTGTGCTCACCCAAATTAGCAGCTAGTTACGGCAGACGAGAGTGCTTTGATCTCCATTAATCTATAGTTGTTGTGTGTATATATATTTCTAGGCGATACAATTACTTGAGAAAGATTAATTAAGCTAGCTCATTGACGCTCTGAGCGAGGAGACAATTGCCCTTGTGCCAACAAGTGCTTCGGCTGACGATGATTTCTAAGCCAGTCTAGACAGACAGTGAATCACTGCCACCGGCGCCGCAGTCATCGCAGCGTGCCTCTCTGCCTGCCCGGCAATCAATCTCTATTTCTGTACATGCTCATTGCCGACGCTGGACTTATTTACCCTTTTTTCAATCCTCCTCCATCAAGTGCCATCATATTTTGTCCAGTCATGTAGCCCAATTACATTGCCTGCCGCCACATGGCCTGCTCTTGCTTGCTACCATCACAATTTTGATGCACACACGGACACAGCCCAATTTGTCTTTTCGACCACTTTGAATGTCATTAGCCTAGTGCACTGCAAAATGTAGTGCCCCATTCTAGGTGAGAAAGAAAATGTTTGTTTTGCTGTTGTTTGATGTTGGCTGCTGC